ATAACAATTTGCTATGTAAAGATATAGTGGAGTCATGTCTACCTGAGCAGAGAATGAAGTCACTCTCCCTCTGCGTGTGCTGTTATGCAAACTTCTCCATCCTTTGTTGACATAACCGGAACGACTGTGCATGCTTTTAGTGCATATGAGCATGCCCCACAGGTTAGCTCACAGCCGTCGCTCTGCTGATAGTGCCATCCCCAACCGACAGCATTGTCACGAAAGTGTAGCACCCAACCTCCGGTTCCCCCTCAGGTTAACACTGTTAGCTCAGTCAGCACCTTCTCCGTAGTTCGCACTGTTAGTCATGAACCGCCTGCTCGCCGTCGACATGATGATAGCCGTTGAGAGGCCATCGAATGGCTCGCAATCTTGCGATCTTGCTCCTTTTACACATTGATAAACCAAATTCCCACTAACCAACTAAATATCATTTTTCGACTAGCAACGTCAACATCCTAGTTGTAATTACAACTGGGAAATTCATCCTACATCCGACTTAATCAAAATAAAAACCAACCTGAAAACCAAACCGACATGAATGCTTTGTATCAGCCAAAGTGCCTCCTTTAATGATAGTTGCAGTTGATGGTTTTTTTAAGACACCAAACTCCTTTTTCTTAACATCACATTATTAGGGGAATTACAGTCTGTTCAATTTATTTTCATTACTAGGAAGATGATTAGACGGTCATCACTCTTCCACCTTTTCTCAACTCACATGATGTTAAGAACAGTCTAAGCTTGTGTCATTCCATGAACAAATATATGCCCGTTCTGCCTGTCAAGATTCAAATTAGACCATAACAGTAACCACTTATAAAACCCTGTATGTATTTTCAACAATAACAGTAAAATCACTAAATGTATAGTGTTCTATTTTAAACATGACCTTGTCTATTGCTGTTGCCCAGACAGTGAAGCGATCATTCTAGGTCTGTGAGCCCTGCGTGCAACGTGTATGAGCACTCCCTCTCATGAGTATGAGCGCTGAAAAGATGCAGGATGCATAGATTAGGAACATACCCCAGGCACGAGTGTCTCCGACCGTGTCCGAAACCAGTCGGCGCCCCTTTCCTTGCCAATCGGAAGTCTTTGCTCATTGTCTCTTTGAACGCCTGACTCCTACGAGAGACTAACATAAGCTGAACATTTGAACCGAGCCTCCTCTGGATTCTTGAACTTAACAACTCAGTCCGTTATTTTTCTGCCATGATCCACCAGGTTGTTCTGGATCGGCTCTGTGAGGTTTGTATTGCGATAAACCATAACACAGGAACTTTCCAGGCGAGAAAACAAAACAAAACTGACACAGTCAGATGGAGGACAGATCTGATTAATCCTCAGTGCTTGAATGAATGAAAAATCGTTCAGGAACATTGCAAAGCCCCAGGAAAAACAAGGCTGACTGGAGTATGATATTCAATTAGTCTCTCTAGAAGGAAGAAGTGGGAGCTGTTGTAACTGAAGACTCAGCTGCATTGAACAGCTTTCCACAGTTGTCTGTCCTCTCTTACTGATTTGTTGTTGTCGTAACCACTCAAAGTAATCCAAGACGTGACATTGACTACATTCCTAAAAGGGACTCTTCCGTAGCACAGATCCACATTGTACAGGAGATCTGGAGAGAACGTTTTAAAACTTTCAAAGTAGCTTCGTTACTCGTCTTCTGCCAGTCAGTCACTCTGTTTGCAGGGAAAGGGGGGTGGTTGAGTTGTTGCATGAGAGCAATGTTACGGCATAGCGTCAGCGAGGGTTGACCTCTTCCTCCAGCAGTGTGAGAGCATGCAGAGTCCCCTGGGGTCGCTGTGGGAGCTTAGGACAGCCCACCAAGTCCTCAGGAGCTGTTGAAGAGTCTGTTTTCCACAGGATGTCCAATGCCGAGACAAATATACAAGAGCTCAACCTAAAAGTGTTGGATCAAGTTAAAGGCTGATCTTCTTTTCAGTAACATTTCCAGATATCTAAGACAAAGACGAAACATTGCGTGTTGACCCTTTCTGAGCTTTGAGAGACTGAACATACTACTATATTGAGACAGTTACAGAGGAACTTTTTGGCGGGTCCCAACTTGTCAAAGGGAGATACTCTACTGCGTGGGTGGTGGGGGTTTTTGTGTTTGGCAGAGCTGGCTTGGCTCAGCCTTCATTGACACGTGAGATCAACGGGCCACCTGACCCGACACCCTGCTCCTGCTGCCCTGCAGCTACATAATTACAGAGGGATATTGTTAGAGTTGGTGCTGGGCAGGGTGGCAAACTAACACAAGCTCACAATTACAAAAACTATATGTAGTAGAGTTTATTGAAAGCTTTAGTGTCACATACTAGTGTAAATTAGAGCAGCAACTAACTATTATTTTCATTATAGATTATTCAGCTTTTTTTTTGTTGATTCATTAATTCATCGTTTCGTCTATAAAAAGGCAAAAACTAGGGAAAATGCCCATTACCACTTCTCTGAGCCCAAGATGATCTTGGTCCTTAAATGTCTTCTTTTGTGTGACCAACACTCCAAAACCCAAAGATATTCAGTTTACAAGCAACACATCCTCCCACTTGAGCCACTTGAACCAGAGAATGTTTACACTATTTTTGCATGAAGAATGACTGAAATGATAAACCACTTATCAGTACCATATAAAATACATTAGTTGCCAAATGTATCGGTCAGTCAGTTTGATTAGGCTAATCGACAAATCATTAGCTCCGGTCTAAATGCTAGAAATGAAATGGAGGAAAAACTGAACACTGAAGACGATAATATCGGCACAACAACCAATCCTAATATAACATAAAATAGTTTGCACACACACAAGACAGTTTGTAAAGATCCTAGGATCCACAGGGCTATGTTTGCCTGAGTGAGAAAGGCAGTCAAAGAGGAGTGAGAAGACAAATTTCACAACTTCTCTAACCTCATTAACTTTTCACACATTATGTGATAGTACTGTATGTCAGAACGGTGCTTCAGCCAATAGACTATTGACTCAGAGGTGAGATAACACCCCTGCCATACAAACACATACCCCCCCCCCCCCGGAGGGAATATTGATGTTTTCATTCTAGACTTTTCTTATAATTTTCCCTAAGCATATTCAAACCTCAAGAAAAACAATATCTTGAATCCCTGCAGTATCTTTTAAATCATGGAGGGGCAGCATGAGTGGTGAAATGGCACACCAGTAGATATACAAGCCATAGATTTGGCTACGGCCCCAGTTCTAGATTAAAACAACCACGTACTAAGTGTTACCAGCCATTTTATTTTCCCATTGCTTACACCAGAGAGGAGTTGCCATTTTGAGGGCCGAGCTTTTGTTTCTCACTACTGGCACTTTAATTTTTGGTTCGGATAGAGAGGGACACTTCCGTGGCAACAGTCAAAACCACCACAACCACTTCCCTGAGCAATAGGCTACACCAAAAACTAGAAAGAGGATACTGCATAGAAATACATCATCTTAGAAATGTGGTACAACGTGTTTGTCATGTAGTCGATGCATTTATGGGAATTATGTTATAATAACAACAACAGCAATAAAGTGAAGTAATACAAGGATAAATAAACAGATCTATGAGCCTGATATAAAAGCTTACTAACTAAACAATTCTTATATGAAGGTCACAGCACATTAAGATCCCAAAGCTTTAGTAGTGCCTTGATCTACCAAAGCCTTGTGGGGAATTTAACCTTTTATCTTTATAGCACTCGTCAATTTGTATTGTTTTTATACAAAAAATATTACCTAGTAAACTAGAGTTTTAACAAGAGTGTAATTGTATTTTTGGTCGTTTCAATTTTGAGCTCCATCACCACCTCTTTTTATTTTTTACTGTGAGGATGAACATAACCTAATAACTGGAGTAATGAGGAGTAATGAGAGAAAGAAAAGGTGTGTATGGTGCACTTTACTGTGATTTCTCAGTATTAAAGTCCTCTCAAGATGAAACAGATGTCTGCAAGAGCAACATTTACTCAGATCATCATGCAACATCGTGATTGTACAAAAAAGACCAAAATGTTGTCGATGCTCATTAAATCATTTTCTACAAATAAAACAGTGTAGAAACATTCCAAGAAGTATTTTCACGACCTAACAATACTCTTTACTGTGTGTTTACAGACTGATAAATGAGGGCTTTAGACAGCAGGGTAAATTTCCTTTCGAGGAGTTTTCTTAAATGACCTACAGGTCATGGCTGTGTACTTGGAAAATCAATTTCATACGTCACTACCCGCCAGCGCTGCCTTTTCTCGCACTAATATAGTTTGTATCTATTTTAAAAATCAGAAAATGACTTCAGAAAGTCCTGCTGATATCTGTACTTAACATTCTGTTCTGAAATGACTAATGATCTCCACCCACCACAATAACTATCTGCCATTGTCTTTTAAACATTTAAGACATGCAATTCCAATTTAGACATTGTTGCTACAAAATTAAATTAACTTGATTTTTGCTGACGTAAAAGAGCCGCATGCTCTCTATTTTCAGTCACGAGGAACAAATGGCGCAGCATTAAGCAGCAGCCTTGTTTACTGCGATGAGGTAATAATCCCTCTGAATTCAGCTTTGTCTCTGCTGAACAGAAACCTCAGGTCAGAGACAAGCAGTCCAGCTCCTCCTATTGGATCTATTCTCCTCACTATTTGACCTACGCTAGACCTGCTGAACACCTTAGGCACAAAACGAGTAACTCTCTTTCATTGCAAGAACAACGGGGTCCATTGAGATGACACCGGTCCCGACGTCAACAAAATCATGATTTCCCACAGCTACCTTCTCATCGGACAATGGGCCTTTTTTGCCACAGCAAACCCATGACACACATCTTGAGGAAGTGAAAACGCCCCTTCACCTTTACCAGCCCCTGAAACAACTTGAGGTCATCCAAATTTAGAAAGGTGTCAAAAACACTGAAGATGATGGCCTTCAAAATGTATCTATTTTATCCATGTACAACTACAACTTACAACCATGTGATTATTAATACTACCTGGGTGTGTGTGCCAAGGTGAAGCGCCTCTGCAGGGCGATGCTGCGGTTCATGAGGTGCTTGCGGAACAGCAAAGGAGAGTGCCGGGGGGAGTTTCGGGGAGAGTTGCAGGGGGACATCCTTGGGGATCCACAGGGTGATCCAGACGTTGACTGTGGTTTCAGCTTGATGGGCTGAGTGCTGCTGAGCGGGAAGGAACCAGTCTCCCCAGAGCTTTCCAAGACGGCCTCACTCATACTGCTGTATAAGGCTTTAACGAAACCTGGTCTCTTACGCTGATCTCTTGTGCCACCCTCGCAGTTCTGTCAGGTAGTCCAGGTTGTCCATCTCAAAACAACAGTATTCTTCAAGAGAATTCATGTAATAACTCGTCTTGCAATGATGCGCTACATACTCAGCAACACCTGTGGGAGTCTCTAAATTCTTCAAATCCACTTTTACTATGCATCTTAAGAATCTTCTTTATCTTTCACAACAGAGCTATGTAAGAGCACTGTTGATGGACATGGACACGAGTGCAGGAGTGAGCCCTCCCCTCAGCAGTAAGCTCTGTTTACATAACACTGAGTCCTGCCTAAATATGGCCAGGCCTGAATTATAGCGTTGTTGGCTCGTACCTCGGGTGAACTAGCTGTGTCCACCACTCCCTTCATGCACACACACAAGTTTGCATTTGTTTCCTTCCTCATCAGTGCACAAACATTAAACACAAGCCAGACCTGTGTTGCGCTGAGAGGCTGGAGCTTGGATAGGTTTTCATTCTGTTGGTCAGTACGGCCCCTCTCTGTCTAAAAACAGAGCCCTCTTGAGATAAAAGATAACAGGAACCCCAGAAATGTCACTTAAACATTTAGTCGTATCTTAAGTGAATACTACTTTCCCAACTGGGCTGAGGGGAGATGGAAAAACAGAGGTCAAAGAGAATTTCATCTTTGACCCACAGACAGCCCAAACCTCCTCTACCCAAAACAAAACTGTGTGAATTCAGCCAAGATACACAAACTAAAGTCCTAAATCTGCTTGTACCTAAACATTTCCCTTGATAAGTAGTATGCTGTAAATACAAGTTGCCCCTACTTTACACACATAACAGTTCAGTTCATTACTACTCTTCTCATACTTAATTCATCCATTACACAACTTCACACAATGTTCAATTTTAGGGATTCAAAGATGAGAACGGTTGTCAGTGGTTGGCTGTGTGTCAGGGTTCATCTGCATATGGGTGACAGGAGTATTTGTCTTGATGCTTATCACTAATCTGCTCAAGATGGCAGCAGACAAAAGCAAATATGATCCGTATACTGGTATATTTTGACTCTAATTATGATCTGAGAACAGGGCTGGTTAAATCAATACATTTCTGTCTCAGTTGTATAACTCCCACATCAGAAAAACACAATTGAACTGTGAAACATACACTGGATTTTTATTCTCAATCACTGCTTCATCCATTATTCAAAGTGTTTAAACTACTTTACTTTTTTTTTAACCTCTTTGTTATTAAGACGTACGATCTCTGCACTGCAATTATCAGAGACAATTTGTCAATCAAACCAGTGTGACTACAATATCTTACGTTGAATAAGTCTGGGATTCTGTGGGTAGTTCCTTTTCCTTTTGTCTGTTCAACCACAGCAACATGTGAAGTGTTAAGAACAGCGGATGTTAACTCACTTGTTAACTACGTATAGGTTTAATCAGTGTTATTGCTAGTGTTGTGCCATGGTGGGGGGGGGGGCTGAGTAATGTGATTAATACGTAAAGGAATACTTTTTGTGTATCAATAACCGCGTTTCCTTGAATTCTTGAAAAAAAGTCAGTTTTTCTACAATGGCTCCATGGCGAACGGTGAATGCAAAAAACGATTAATTCCTTGATGAATTGAAGTAAATGGGGTCTAGGTTAACAACAGCAAAACTATACAAAATCTCACACAACTCATGCAGTACAATCCAAGTCTTGTTTATCCATTCGTACTCTCAATCACATGCATCTTCACTAAAACCTTATTATTCAAAACACTGTCTCATGGTTGAGCCTGCGTTTGGGAAGTACTGAGCATACAACTGGACAAACGAGACTTGGATTATACTGCAAAAGTGCACAATTACTGCCTTTTAATTGTGTCTGTAAAGTATCTAAAGAACATTAACATCTTCATGGCAAATCAGAAAACAATTATCCAACATTTAGCATTCATCTTGTCATTATGTCTCTTTGTCATTCTGCATCCATTTTTATGAGGCACTAAAGTAGTGAAATATAAGGGCTCTTGAGCCCGATGGGCCGACTGCCAAAGTACAGATTTATTTGGGAGGGGTCAGGAGGGGTCACTGCAATGAGCTCACCAACAGAAACACAGCTGTTGTATGAAATGCCAAATGCGACCAGCAGATGGTGCCCACACGCAAACATAGAGCAAACACACACACTGATGTAGACAAATACACTAATACGAACCAACTGACATAAACTGAAATGTCAAATCATCCTATGGGAGTTTGACTTGGAGAAATTAAACTTTAGACCATTATCGAAATATCTTTCCAAGTCACCTTACAACATCACAACTGGAGCATATGAGGCCCCAGTGCTTTTTTAAACTCTAACTCTGGAAACAGTCCACTTCATCTGCCAACACAGTCCACCATTATGTGACTGAATGAGAGGTTTGGCCGAGTAGGATCAAAACATTCTAAATACAAAAAACTGTAGACTGCGTGGGCAAAGTCAATTAAACTGTTGCTATTATGAGTCAATGGGGAGAAAAGACGAGGAGCTGAATCCTGGATCTTTTCTTAATGTGACTAATACCAGGATATGTTGAACTATTTATTCAACTGAGTCATATTCCCTTCCTCCTCCCACCACCACCACCAGATCAAAACACACAAAAGCAGTACTGTTTTAGCTGACACACACTCACACAGACAAACATGCGTTGGTTTCCTGAAAAGCATACTGCTTTATCCAATAAACTCCAGAATCTGGAGGTGTAACTGCATCATACTATACATGCTCAACCAAAGACTGAACTACAAAATACAATTTAATTTGAGCGCCACACGTCTCTCTTCTTAAGCCAGCAATTGCTCCTACTAATAGCTTCTCTCCCAAGGCTGTGTTTTTAATAAAGAAGAGATCTTCTTCTGAAGTGTGTGTGTGTGATTTTAGCAGTTAAGCTTCCCTAATGAATGACTCTTCGGCTGCTTTGTGGTGACGCAGTGAAGGCGGTGACAGCGACCTCCGCTTTCACAGGAGAAAGAAAATTTGGGGGTTAATTAGATGTAATACCAAATGACATACCCAAAAAGTGTTCCACCAAACGGTACAGATAGAGACATGACAAAAAATGTGGAAGATTAAGTCTGCACAATGCACCTTCTTTACATTAATTGCCTCTTTCCTTGTAGATTACCTGCGACAAGTCACAAGACCAGTATGCATGTAGCATTTAGGGGGATGTATTGGCAGAATTGGAATATAATATCAATAAGCAGGTTTTCTTTCGCGCATAATCACCTGAAAATAAGGATTGTGTCTTCGTTACCTTAGAATGAGCTGTTTATATCTACAGGAGCGGGACCTCTTAATATGTTTCTTTGTTATCTTTCTACATTAGCCCAGACAAATACAACACTGGCTTTAGGGCCGTTCATGTTTTCACGTCGGCCACCATAGTTCTACATGCTTGGCACACTGGAGAAGTTTCACTTGATCGCTATCTGCAACCTCACTGCTAGATGCTGCCAAATCCTACACACTGGCCCTTTAAACCATTTCAAATGAGTGAGTGAGGGGTGTGGCCAGCAGTGAGCTGGGTGTGGTTATCAAGGTGATTCTTCTGTTTGCAAGGTCCACGTGCAACGGGCATCAAAATGTGTGTGATAATGCATCACCACAGAGTCAAGTGCAGCTCAGTATAATACTGTGTGTGTAGACAGCCTGATGACTGATGATAGTTCATTAAGGTGAACGACAAACTGACAAATTAAAAGGGAAGGAGGAAATAACTCTTATTTTCACTCAATCAAGGAAAACAATTGCATTATGTTCATTGTTCATTCTATTTTTTATTTTATTTTATTATAAAGCACTTTGTGCTGCATTTCTTGTGCTACATAAATAAAGTTTATTATTATCATTATTTTTTTAATTGTACAGGAGAATAACTTGATTTCAGCATTGAGCAATTGCTTTAGTAAATAAATGTCAATATCAAATTCAGCCTTTTCATTGTGAAGATTTATCCAAAGTATTACCTTATAATGTTTTCTTAAAAGCAATTTCATTACCGGTGGCATTTAAAAAATCGGAACATTATTGAGCATTTTCGTAAAATGGAGGGACTCGGGCAAACATTTTGAGAAACTCAATTTGAGTAAAGGGTGCCCCTTAAAGTTGGAACACTACATTATATAAAATAGTGCACGTCAATACACACACACACACACACACACACACACACACACACACACACACACACACACACACACACACACACACACAAACTCCTCTCTTTCATACAAGTACAAGCAACCATGCAGTGGTGCACGCATACACTTGTTCCTCATAACGGAACCTGGCTGAAAATTAGATTAGAAGATGTACAGTGTACCAAAATACTTCTTACATAACTACATAGAATAGCAATGTCCACTTACAGTGCTAATCAGGGGTGTAACGATACATCAACCTGTATTAATGTATAGATTTAATCATAAACGATGGCCTGTTGCTACTCTACAAAGATGTCCTCCAGCTCCCGCCGGCAGGATTTTCTTTTGCTCTTCAGAAGGCACAGCGAACAATATGCAACACCCAATATGAGGTTTCATTAACATTAACCGAGGATGACAACAATTATCGTATTACAGTCATGAGGTTCAGGATATCTACTGTAATCCAATGTGATGAAATCAGTATGAAAAAACAAATGACTTTCCGGCTTCCCAGCCTTGTCTGTGGCTCTCAACCACAAGCCCATGTGTCTCTACTTAAGATGTAAATCTTTAAAAACAGATATAAGATAAAAACAAATATATAGTTTAATTTTTTTTAAATCTTTTAAAGGCTACACTAATAAAAAAAAGATTGACACTGAAGTAAATAGTGCTTTGTTGGGGACTACTGTGAGCCACACATTTGGAGTGGTGCATTTTAGGTAGCACAGGTTACAGAGTGAAGAGAGACGTAGAGAGCAAAGATAAACAAGTCCAGATGGAATAACTGAGCCCCAGCCAGCTCCAGGGAGAAGAAGGGCCAGGAACATGAAGAGGCTCATTCTGGACTACTTCCTCTGGAAAAGGTCGAGAGCTGGGATCAAAGCCAGCATCCTATCCTGTAGAGACTCTCAGTAGGCTCTCAGCACATTCCTGCTGAATACATGACTACAGATCACATCGCCCCATTGATATCAGTCTGTTTTTATGTTCAAATATGTCATCTTTGCATTAATGGCTATTTGTGGAGCACCAATTAAGCCTCATTTTGGTAACTGACATACATCTTGTGCTAAAGAAATTTAAATAAAGGATTTGTCAATCATAAATTAGGATAGTTGCTGCTTAAGATTGACGTCATGACTCGTTCATCATATTTTGCTGTCGACGTTCAGTGTTGAGCGGCAAATAATGATGCTAAAGATAATAAAATACCAACAAAAAACAGTGAATATGTCGGAAAACCGTCAGTACAGCAGTGATCTACACAAAACCTTTCAATCGCCTTGCAATATTTCCTGATGAAGGTTGAGTGTCCTCCGAGGACAAACAAACAAACAGACATGGTCACATTATACTATTAGGGCTGTCGCCTCATTGAAAATAATTTAAAAAAGAAAAAACATAAGCATAGCGGTTGTGGCCTGCCAGCTTGTATTGCGACAGTCCTATACTATACTATGATACTACCATGAGTAATCCATAGGTAGTCTAACAGCCCTTTTATATGTGAGTTTGTAAAGCAACACGAGACTCAGATCCAGAGGACAAAATGGACAAGTGGACAAATAATCTACAGCGTATGCCCAAACCGAAAGTGCAAGTGGAAAGGTTTTATGTTGAGGGGAAGAGTTCATGTCACTTATGATAATATACACAAAATACAGACATCGTGCATGGAAAAAAGGAACCATGGTCCAAAGTCAAGAATTGCTGCTGCAATTGACTGTTCCATCATTTAAAAAAAAGCTCAGACTGTTACCGAAGAAAGCCTAAACCTGCGCCATCAGCAACACCAACCCCAGCAAATAAGGTGGCAAAGAAAGTTGCCGCCTCTAGAATTGAAAAACAGAAAACAGGCTGGCTTGTTGCTGAAGAGGTGAAGAAGACAACCTCCCTCTGTGAAGCATGCAGAGCTCCCCAACCCCAACGTAGCTAAAAGGATAGCTAAAAGCTAATCACGACTTTGGAAGGAAGCGAACAGGTGAAACAGCATTCAGCACACAGTAACCAAACAGTTAGCAAGCTAACGTTGATGTTACAGCCTACATGTGGGTCTTGCCGCCTGGATGAAATGATCAGTGGTGTGATCAGTGCGGTTGACCAACGATCAAGTCCCAAATCTAGAACATATTTTTTCAGTATACAACTCAATGAAGTGCTGGATAGTTGTGTCTATCATTTTAGTATGCTTATTATTATGCTTTTTATACTCATTCAGGCTGATAACTTTATGCATTTTAATCTGGGCTCATTTCACTTTAAAAAGAGAAGAGCTGAAACACAATTAGTCGACTAATCGGTATGTTGATTGACAGAAAATTTCGATAATCAATTAATCATTTAAGTAATTTGAAAGCTAAAATCGCAGAAAAGGCTGTTTTCAGCCTCTCGAATATGGAGAAAAAGTTGCCGACTGTTAACTAGAAAAAGACTCAATCGTCAAATCTTTCATCACGCAGCATCAGATCCAAGTGTCTGTCAGGATCTACTGCATCGCCTAGGCAACTGGGAGCTCCTCAGTAGCAAACAGTATGTTGTTATTCAAACAGGACGTCTGCTGAGGCTCTGTCAAGGCTCGGTGACTTTGCATGCTCCTGGTGCTGCAGCCACAATTAAACACTGCAGAAGATAATAAACCAAGTGAAAAAGAAAGTTATGAAGGGAAAAAAATGTAAAATGTTAATATAGAAATCATATCATTGATTATATAATTATCAACAAATACAATCACTAAATATACAACATTTTGTCTTGTCCTATACAATGAAATGCTACAAGATGGCAAATGCACTAGGTCATGACATACAGCACCCTTCTTGTCTTCCGACCACTCAGAGCGCCTTCACTACTTGTAGAAATTCACCCATTCACGAACACATACACCGATGGAAGAGGCTGCTATGCAAGGCCCCAACCTGCCCAGCAGGATCTAATCTAAATGCTCATTCGCACACTGATGGTACAGCCTTGAGGAGTATGTTGCCCAAGGACTGGAGGAGCCATGATCAACCTAAGATCTTCCTGCGAGTGGAAGATTCGCTCCACCCTCAGAGCCGCCCACCAGCCTATAGTTCTGTTGTTGTCAATAAGACTGTGATCTGTGTCAGCCTACCTTTTCTAAAAAGGTGTTGTATTGCTCCTCTGTTTTTCATGATCAATCTAGATATCCATCTGTGAATTGCTGATAGGAGATCATCTTCCCACCACTACCTTTTTAGTTCCACTCAACTGACCAGCAGCACGGGGCTCCACAAAAACACATCCCCTGGTGAGCAAAGAAAGGAAGGCCTGCACTGACAAAACCTCTTAATCAATAATGTTCTTGGAACATGGATCCAGTGGCACAGCAGGCATATTTTAATATTTGTGTGGGCATTTCTGAAGATTTCAAATATATATATTTATAGTATAATTGATTGGTGTTGTTGTCTATCCTCCTGTCCCGTCATGTAATACCTAAAGTTGTCAGACACAGAGGAAATATTCGAACAATTGCTGTTCTTTTTAAATGTGGGTACTAAAATCCTTTTGAAAAGGGAGCCTTCAATCACAATACTTAAAGACTGTCATTTACATATATTTATTGCAGAAAGATTAAACCACATAAAAAAAGAGAATGAATTAATTGTCCTACACCAGTGTTACTCTACTTAGGGTGCTGAGTTTGACGGCCCATCAAGCATTTCCTAATTCACGATGAAAATAAAGTGACGCACATTTCCATGTAAAGTGTGAGTATTGAGACCACTTTGGGGAATTAGCTTTATTTAGAAACTGCATATGTTCCTCACTGCTGGGAGGTGGAATGTTTCAACACCGGATAGTGAGGAAAGTAGCACCAAAATGTGTTACTAAAGCTGAGGAGTGTACACATGTCCAATCTGCTTCGGTTAGCATCCCATGACACTGCACTTCATTTACACTTCGTGTTTGCTCACCAGCTGCACTGAGAAGAGCCTGACAGGTGGTCAACCTTCAAGTTATCTGGGAAAGTTTTCAAGGGATCGCATCATGGCACATGTAGAAATCTAACATGTAGAGTAGGCAGGACAAAATATCATAAGAAATATATGTTTCACAAACTTATAGTATATCTGAGCTTCTTCAATCCTCATGAAGTAGTTGTGAAGATGAGCGAACAGCAGGGCGGGTCGGTCTAAATCCAAGGTAAGTCCAAGTGAACACAAAAACAAGATATGTAACATTGGAGCTGCCGATATCCATCAACAAAGGAAGTCAAAATAATGCCGAGTAAATTACTGAGGCAGCATCCTTTGAGCGCGCTGTGCTGGTGTCTTGTCAATCTAACTCATAGTCTCAGTCATGTGTGATGTTTTCGATAGATCAAATTTCACCTTTCATTATATTTTCAGTGTCAACACTCTATTCACTGAACAATGTAATGTGCTATCTGTATTATTTACAGCAAATGGACTCCAGTAAAGCTTAAGCATCCATTCACAAGACGCCGCAGAGGAACAAAGGGGAACACATGGAAGACAATAACTTTTGACAGTGGTGTTGATAATGTTTCGAACATCTTTTTCCCTATTCTGTAAAAAGACCCTGGGTGAGACTATAAGGCTTACTGACACCAATAGATTAGAACATTAGGGGCTTCTCAGCCTTTCGGGAAATTAATTTGTACTCCATTGGCAATTTATCTCCCAAGAAATACCATGAAATGTGGTGGCTATTTTTCTTCACTTGACATCTGTAACATCAACAGGAAAAGGCTTCTATATCAATCTTATTAGTTAATTGGTATAAAACGAGTTCAGCATTGTCAAACCATTACAGAGGCACTGGAAACATTGCAGTGAAGATTGTGCATTAGTAGAAAGACTTTCATTCATCTTACTTGGCTACCAAACTTGGCTACAGTTTTCTGCCGAGAGGGAAGTCGATATATTCAGTTGACTAAGTTTTAATTTTTAGTACATTTTTTACAAAACTTTAATTTATCATAAAGTTAAAGTTGCTTTAACTGCCAAAATCTCATGGTGCTTAAGTCAAATTCATCCAGTTCATGAAACATATTGTAATCACAAAATCTCTGTTCAGAAAACAAACCAGCTGCGTTTGTGTTGCTTTGATACATAAAACGTAAGTGAGATTGACCCAGCTGGTTTTCAGCAGATCTAATCCAACAGCATTGATATTTGCATATTAACAAGAACCATATGAATGTCCACACGTCTACTGTAATAGCTTTTACATTGTTCATCACTAGGATGAACAGATGATCAAATTGATAAGGAACATTTATAATGTTAAAACAGTCTAATAAGTATTCACCACTGAAATGTCAAGTTAACTTACAAATCCATGTTACTGCAGCTAATACCGACCTGCTATTTAACATTTCCAGCACTCTCCAGTACAACTCATCGTTAACGAGGAGCAGAACCACAGCTTGTGCCACAACACCTGCTACTGTTTGCTCATCATGTGATAGATATTCAGCCATGGATTCAACATACTAGCTGTTGGCACTCCAGTTAATCATTTCCCAGGCCTTTGCTGCTACTTAACATGCTGCATGCTGACATGGCCAAATGGAAAGCATCCAGTGTTTTTCAGGCTTTGGGGTTTGAACGAGAAGGAGGATTCTGGAGTTAAGTCTAGTCCCGTGTAGTTCAGTTTAAAAATGTTTTTTCTGTAAGCTTGTTGTGGTGTTCCCGGATCCACTGAATGTCGGAGAGTGTTTCATGCGGATTTCAGCTGCTTCTGGGTTGAAGGACAAAGAAGAGCGGGAAAGATGTGGTTTGTAAGATCATTGGAAATTTGTCTGAAATCAAATATTTTAAAATGACTGTAAGATTTAAAGTTCTTGATTGGTGTGGAATATCTTCCTCATAAACCTAACATTCATATCTGATTAGCAAATTTTAAATATACAACTTTAAATCATACGCTACTCGTGTTTAGAGTTGCTATCCAAGTATGAGCTGACAAGAAATTAGGGATTGGACGAAACAACATTGCTAGCATACACAACAGCAAAATAAGCTTACTAATGCAAAAGAAAGATTAGATTAGTTCTCACCTAAATCTTAAGAACTAAACACTGCAACAACCTCAGCCATCTTTGGTGACTCCAGCTTTCTCCGATTAGCTGGTAAGGGGTTCACAAGTTGCAGTCATTTATGTTGTACTTCATGCTTGCTATGCTGTTTCTACTTCATACTAAGCGCAGCGTTAGTCAGATCTGAAGCTGTATTATGCTCTTGAGTTTCGCAGTCTTCTTCTATGTGTATAGGAGGATTCCCAGTGGTCTCCATATGTCAGACCAGATTTTCTTGTCCAATGCAACTTTAATTCTGTTAGGAATAAATGAAAACACAGATTATTACTTTAATCAATTATAACAATCTCTTGAGGCAAAGAGTGTCCGTTTGATGGCTGTTAGTGCAAAGCCAACATCACAGGCCTACTGTGAAGTGAATCTGTGATTACAACATGTTCTGTACCACCGAACACATACTGTAACATAGACCTTAGTTGTGCTACATTAAGTATTTTAAAACAAATAATTGAGTCCAGCCAGTTATAATCAGAGACATTAATACATTGATCTTAAAATGGCAGTCTGGTTGGACCTGCCCTGTTTGGTCATCTATCATCCATCCATTACATTACCCACTTAGCCTTGCCAGACTATCGCAGGGCCAACATATAGAGAAGCTCACTTTCACACCTATGGGCGATTTAGAGTCATCAATAAATCTAAGATCTGTCTGGAGAAAAGAAATAAGGGAAAACAGATGTGCACATTAAGATAATAAAAACCTCAGTGAACATCATGTAATGTGATTTTTTGTTTGTTTCGTTGAACCATTTTACCCCCGAAAGTGCTCCTTGAGAAGCACTCATGGCTCGTTGACTCCAGGATGTAAAGTAGATTTTGGTTGTAACGATAGTATATCCAGCATCCTGCAGTCAATGAGCTACGGCCTGTAAAGGCCCGCTGCACACAACGTGTTCGACTCAGTGAGCGCTATTGGCTCTTTATATGATATATGTTTAAATATGGAACATGTGTGTACAATTAGCACCAAATTCGAAACTGCACTCACTTGAATGCACAACAAGTACATCAGATGAACGATCCTCAAGATATTCGAAGAACACACAAACAGATATTCTTTGCTTCATGGTTAGGAGTGGCACTGGACAGCCTTATATTGTTTCAACATGTTGTATGATAGCCACACCACAAATGGGTCAAACACGATTCTATTTTATTCAACAGAACCAAATTGAATTTTTGTCTGTTAGATTTTTGCAGCAGCAGCGTGGGTTCTCTCCGGCTTCCTCCCACAGTCCAAAGACATGCAGCTTAGGTTAACTGATGACTCTAAATCACCCGTAGGTGTGAATGTGAGCGTGAATGGTTGTATGCGTTGGCCATACGATATTCTGGTGACCTGTCCAGGGTGTACTCTAACAAAACTCTTCAAAATTCTGGTTAATTTACCTTTTCCATATCAAAAAATATGATGTCTTAACAAGATCACAAGAAAACCGAGACAAGATGTTAGATGGAGGCAGGGCTGAGGCGATAGAAAAGAGTACGTGTATTACCACCCCTTGCAACCACTGTCATCCAACGTAAATTGCAGACTAGTGTTTTCTGCTCGTTGTCTGACTTTTTAAACACAAACCATACAAATATAATGGAGGTTTCACCTGTATTTTTTACCAACTCCTCCTCTTCGTTATTTGCAGCGGTTTCAGCCATTTCTTGATTTCTAAACAAAGCAGAATTGGCTTTCGACAAGCTGATGATGACGAATTCTATATAGAATTCGTCATCATCAGCTTGTGCCAGCAAATCATCTGGAAAACGAGGAGGCAGAGCACCGTATAGTCAAAATTCATACTGTAGGGCAAATTCATACCAGTGTACTTTCTATACCTTTTATATGTTCCACCCACAGATGAAAGCTATTTATCGTCTCCACCACGACCTCTTTTGTGTCTGAAAATGTAACTGAAGGAGACAACTGTTTCCCTGCAAGATGGCCAGGCCTTCCTGCTTGAACAGGAAAATGAATCCCATTCTCTGCTTGTGTCAGAGTAATCTGCACAGAGATGCCCCTCGACTCAACACGCCACCAGATCTGCATCGACGTGATGAATCACAGCCGTTATGCCTTCTGCCTCCTGTTTGCTCTTGGAATGGATCTGTGGTCCTGGCTTCTCATATTAAGAGTCAAACTAAAGCAATCACACATTCATCGTTTCTGTGTGAGGCGGAGAGAAGGGGGGTAAAGGTGAAGATGAGCAAGCTGTTGCCAACAAGCAGGTGAAGTGGAGAAAATTGCTGCATTTGAATAAATTGCAGATGTGGTTCAGAGTACCAGATGTTGCGGTCAGTGTACAGAATGTTGCTAGTCTTCTTTTTGCGCTCTCATTTGTATAGTCTTCTTTCTGTATGCTCTGTACACTGTAGACTGTATAGTTGACGGTTTGTAGGCACCCAACAAATGTTTTATTATTCATCTTTTTGTCATTATGTAAATGCTTTGTCACCAACATAACCATGAGTCAAATGTTCAATGTCTATATACTGCCCAGTTTATAGGGGTATAGATATGCAGCAGACGTCTTCCTGGGTCTACCCAGTTCCTTATAACTGAGGAGTTTGGGCATGATAAAAATCATAATTATCTAACCAGGTCGGATTAGATCACTATCTGTAGCAGCTCTCTGTGTGGGTATCCAAGCTTTTTGAAGTGAGAAAGAGAGTGAGAAATATGAGGTGTGGGAAAAAGGAAAGGTAAAGCTACTCATATTGAGCAAGGCTGCCTGGTGATGTATGTACTGTATATATGGGAGGCATAGTTAATGGTGCTAGAAAATGACGCGATCACGGCCTGCGTGTCGTGTGTGATTTGTGTAACTTGGCAGGCGCGGTGAGATCGTGATCAAAGCTTGATTGTCACATATCTAGGGATTATACAAAAGGACCAATTTGTTTTTAGATGTCTTAGCAACAGGAGGTCTTAAAAAGCTACATTTGAGTACATGCTTTGCAGCCAAATCAAATTGTTTCCAAGATATTCAACCTTCAGTTCATTATAATGCATTCAATACTTGACTTCTTTCTTTACAGGGCTTGTATAAAGGAAATTAAGTAGACCATGAATATAAGATATGGGTTTACAGTTATTACAATTCCTCCACATTGTGGAAGTTGGTTTATGCCGTTTTGCAGGTAACTCTCGTCGTCCTTTTGGTTGTTCACAGTATATTTTGTTTGCGCTTCGAGCATAAACATCCTTGTGCATGCTCGGAGCTCGTGAGCCATCTGCGGAGGCTCAATTTGTTATTTTGGTGGCTCTGACTTTGGGAACTGCTGGGTTTTTGCACAGATGTGTGCTATCTGAGAGCTCTCTATAGGTCGACAAGACAAAAACATTAACAAGGGCAAAGTGTAATTTCCTTCTATCCTACCACTTAAAGGAGCAGTAAAACAAATGAAACAGGACTCTGTATTTTAGCCTCTGACAAGAGTAAGGTCGCTGCAAGGACAGAGATACCAATCTATTATATTCACTGAGCATTGTTTGGTAATTCATCAAGGTTTATCGAGAGCAACCGAGTTATTTTTGTGATCTGTTGTACCTTGACTGAATCAGTGGAGATTGAATATACATGGACAAGAAGTGCTTTACTCATCTCTTGTAGTGCTCCATCACCAAGCTATTGCTGTGTTGCTGCCAGATGGATCAGAAACCCTATTTGCTGTTGTGATTGTTTGCCACTCAGAAATACACGGCACGTCACACCACAACCCACAACCCTGCAGATAAAGGGGGGGGGGAATAGCCATTGTCTTTTTCCAAATAATAACAATGAACTCGGTTAAGATTAGAGGCTTCCCCTTCCCCAAATCATCCTGTGTCCATTTCTACAAACTACAGTTTAGGTTTGATTAGCCAAAATATACTTATTAATCCCCTATAATCCTTAGACCCATCCTTTTGATTTAGAAGCAGCGAATGCCACAGTACAGCACCAAGGACCAGCTCCAGTGTAAAGGAAATAACAGGAATATTTCTAAAACCCAACATATGTGTCTTTTCTTATGAAATGACAGGGATGCAGTCATCACAGTGTCTAAGATTGAACTGCCTGCTTGTGCCATTTGGATACAATTCACTTTCTCTCTTGTAAGTGGGATGCCACTGGAGAGATAACACATTAATAAGATAAGACATTACAGATAGTGTCTCATTCTTTTTGTTTTTCATTTCCTGTTTATTTGGCATTAAAGGCATTCAGAATTAATTGTCACAGGCTGTCTAGGACAAATTCCACTGTGGTCCTGGAAGTACCCATTTTCCTAGTTTACTTTAGACGTTTCCGTATGTTGTCTTCCAATATGAAACACTACAAGGAATAAAATGTCCTGTTCCCTGACACTCATTTTCATTCCCAACAGCCCATGTCAGTGAGGTGAAGACATTGTCGGACTGATATTGTGCAGTCTGATCCCTGTATTACGCAAACTGTCCCATCAAAGTCAGTTGGAGATGGGGTGAATTTTAATTGTGTGCTTTAAGTTACAAAAAAAGAAGGATATTAAGTTGACCTTGGAGTCAAGATTTTGTTAAGGTCAAGAATGAATCTCCAAGTCCCAGGACAGGCAATCGAAAAACAAAATAATAATTTGTTATGTTATCCATTGGGATACAGTCTGGAACATCTAAAACTGATTCCTATGACCCAGATCAGACAGAGCTCTTTGTAGCAGCCTGGGGCGGCTTTTTGTTATTGTTTTCAATGAGTACGTTTTATTTTTTTGGTTGCAGCTTTTGCCTTGCTGAGCGACTCGTATTTTTCCGCTCTATGTGCCTCGCATTTAAGCAGGACCCTTAAAGCCTTGAGTTAAAAGAAAAGTTTATTTACACACATTATTAATAACTTTGTCACCCGCCTGCCAGAACCTGTAACATGTTCCAGTGAGCTTACCCAAATATGAATTCAAACCCGCCCGACCTGTAGGTCGACAAAAGATAATGCTAACTTTGCTAAACATTAGCTAACGCAACCCATTTGTTAACGATATCCTTCTTATCTGGTTATTTGTAAAAGTAGTGAGAAAAATAAAAGGTACTGATCTGTAAATTTACTTCACAGCAAAATAACTTTTAGGCTGAGTACAGGTGACACTTTTTGCAAACTGTTCAAGTACTCTGATGCTTGACCAGGCCCTTAGTATGTATTTTATCAAATTTTCCATCCAACATTAAATACAGTTGCCTCTCTTTGCTTCAAAAGTAATCATTGAGAGGGAGAGTCTGCACACAGCATTTGTGGGTTAATAATATAAGAGTCATGTTTCTACTTAGCGTGGGTTTTCTCCGGGTTCTCCGGCTTCCTCCCACAGTCCAAAGACATGTGGTGACTAATTAACGACTCTAAATTGCCCTTAAGTGTGAATGTGAGTGTATATGGTTGTATGTCTCTACGTGTAGGCCCTGCGATATAGTCTGGTGACCTGTTCAGGGTGCCCAATTTCAGCTGGGATCGACTCCAGCCTCAGAATGGGATAAGCGTTTACGGATAATGGATGGATGGATGTTTCTAATGACATTTACAATGTATAGCTTTAAGGTAATTTAGTTTTCAATGTTAACATTTTTTGATGGTTTATATCAAAGCTACACCCATGTTTAGGTCGATGAGTGTCAGTGACAAATGTATTACATTAAAGTAGAACGGCTTTAGAGCCCATTAAACATCTCATCCTGAGTAAAATCAACAAACAAGTTTATCAAGCAGGCAACAACAGCAGTTTCCAAGAAACGCCTGACCTGTTTCTGCCACGGGCATCTGGTCTGCCTGGGAAATGGGTAAACATTGTCACATCTGCACATGTCTGACTACCAGCCAGAGGCAAATGCACAGAGAGCAAGAAGGCAACAGGCATTTATTAAATGAATGTGCCTTTACTTCACAACTATGTGTCTAGTTTCAAACACGTTTATTATGTTTGTTAGGCTGAAAGTTCTTCTAAATAAATAAATCATAGAAGGCTCAGTGAAAGATGCAGTATTTGTAAAAGAATTTAGAGAAGGAAATGGCTGCACATTCATCACTTGTCACATTACATAAACTATGAACTCATGTTGAGCGGGTCCAAACAAAATGTCTGATCATCAAACGAAAACGTTGGTGTTTACTTCACTACTTGACCAATGGCTTCAACAACTGAAAGCAGTGATCCAGGGTTCTCATTGAAATGTGAATGGAGGAAACTTATAAGGCTTTTTTTAAAGAAATAGTTCAACATTTAAAAAAGACACTGATTGGCATTCTTTTCAAAAGTTAAATGAGAAGATTGATACCAGTTTTCTCGAGGACGGTTATCCATCTGCCCAGTGCTTCTGTGCAGTCAGTGATCTGTTCTTTATGCAATCTGCTGATTCAAAATGGGCCCTTGGATAACAGTTAAGTCACCACCTCGGCCAAAGCCAGCTGAGCAGAGACAAACTGAACACATGTTTTTGGGACGTCTATGCCTCAAAATTCATCACTATATGAGGAATGAATGCAGTAGAAAGCTGAAAGACAGAAACTATTGTAGGCGCAGTGTCCACTTTTCATGGATTTCATCTCATCGGTGTCTTTCTTATCATACTCTTAGATGCCAGCAAACCAACAACCCAATAGGAAGGAGAAACAAAGTCTCTGCTGAGCTCTGTTCTCAATAGAATGAATTACATTCTCTACACATCATGAGTCTGTTTAAAGGAACAAAATGGCCATTACATTTCATTTGGGCTGCAACTAAGGAATACTTTGATAATTATTCTCTTGATTATTACTTTATCAATTATTAATCGGATAAGAAGCTATATCTCATATAAATATATTGTGTATATACAGTTGTGTGAAAAAGTGTTTGCCCCATTCCTGATTTCTTATTTTTTTGCATGTTTGTCACACTTAAATGTTTCAGATCATCAAACAAATTTAAATATTAGACAAAGATAACACAAGTAAACACAAAATGCAGTTTTTAAATGAAGGTTTTTATTATTAAGGGGGAAAAAAATCCAAACCTACATGGCCCTGTGTGAAAAAGTGATTGCCCCCACCTGTTAAAACATAAATGAACTGTGGTTTATCCCATCTTTGGAAAGCTGAGTTCAATTTCTCTAGCCACACCCAGGCCTGATTACTGCCACACCTGTTCTCAATCAAGAAATCACTTAAATATGACCTGCCTGACAAAGTGAGGTAGACCAAAAGATCCTCAAAAGCTAGACATCATGCTGCGATCCAAAGAAATTCAGGAACAAATGAGAAACAAAGTAATTGAGATCTATCAGTCTGGAAAAGGTTACAAAGCCATTTCTAAAGCTTTGGGACTCCAGGGCTGTTTTGCTGCTTCAGGACCTGGAAGACTTGCTGTGGTAAATGGAACCATGAATTCTTTAAATTTGTTAAAAATGTAATTTAGTTAAATCAGTGAGCTTGGATGGAAAGAAAATACCAAGATATTTAAATCCATTATTAACCATCTTAAAAGACAAATATTGCAGAAACATGCATCCTGCGGCTCTTTGTGGTAAAGCTAGGAACACATCAAACACACAAAATACATCAATAATCTTGATCACAGCTGGTATAGATCTGGATGAGTCATTCATAAATAAAAGAAAGTCATCTGCGTATATTGACATGTTATGTTTGTTTGAATGCGTGTTGTTCTATAACCAGAGCTAAAAGTAAAGCAGACAGGGGACAGACCTCCTCTGTGCCATTAACAGATACGGCACCATGTGAAAAAGTGAAAAACAATCAATACAAATATCACCGGAGTAAAATGTATTTAGTGTTCTGAATAAGTACTTCCATCTCCTCCGTCATATGCTTTTCTGCATCCAATGTGATTACTACCGCACTGTTCTTGTTATACCCTACATACTGCATGATGCCCAACAATCTAAATTTATTTGAATGAGACTGGTGGTTTCAAACAAAACCAGCTTGATCAGTGGCTGTCTTTGTGTTCAACTTGGGCAGCACTGAATAAAGCGTTTTGCCAAAATATTGGCTTAAATCTGCACTTAGAATTGATAAAGGTCCATATGATGAGAAAGGGCTCCAGAATAACTTTACAAACTTTCTCGGATGGTCACACTAGCACATCATTTAATAAAAATATTGTTTTTCTGTGGTGTCATAAACTCATATATCTATTTTTGCTTCACCCAGACTTTAAATTGTGATTCAAGTGGAAAAAAAACATGTTCATAACTACTTCACCACAATCATTTTCAAAAAGCTAAAATAGTCAAATGATATACTTTCTTTTTCATGAAACCATTCCACAAAAAAATAAATAACAGAAGACTGAGCCATCACAATGGCAGCTGTCTGAGGGTTATACACATGGGAACTAAATTGGCAGAATCCATCAGCAGCCTTTAATTTCACTGGACAATCTCATCACAGTGGTCCCAGTAGCATTAAATGGTCTCTAGTATTACAACTCGATAAAAGCAACATCCACACTACAACTGACATCTACAGGGCAACTCATGCAGCTAAATGCATTAAACACGACCACATTACCTTTCATTAATCCTCCCTCAGTGAACTGCTAATACGACATGCTTTTGTGTGTTTTGTTATCAAATTGGTTAGATAACATTCAGTTGTTCTGTCTCGATAGCTGCCTTCCCTCCCCCCACTCTGATAACCTAGTGGGGAAGCCTTTATGTGATTATCCCTGGAAAACATATGGGCTCCATAGCGACTGGTGTATTTCTTTCACCATCCAGGCGTAATAAGGGCTTTCAAAACAGGCCGTTCCTGTTTCAAGTTGGCCATTGGTCCAGATGACACTTTACTTTCTCACTACTCGCGGCCTGGGAGAGCAGCCACTTAGATTACATGACCACACTGCAGACGTAACAACGGGAGCACATCATGTAGCTGAAAGACCACCAGTTCATTCCCTTTAAGAGCCGACATGCCTCCATCACCAGTAGCGTGTTGTATACTTGAGCAAGACAATGAATCGCTATCTGATAATTCATTGTGATTCAGCCAGGAGAGGAGCCTCAGCCTACACCAATGCCTGAGAGGCAATTCCCTTTGTAGTGTGCATCTGCCCTGTCGGTTTTGCCGGCTCAATCTGTGACATTTATGAACCGGTCAGTGTTCCTCAGGTGCACAAGTAACATACAGAAATGGAAGTAAAAATTATGAAAATCTGCCGAGTTATACAAAGACAGGTTGTTTAACCCTGCAGTGACACTGCAATTATTTCTTAACATAGTGTCAAAAGAACTAGCTGCTGCTTGAAAACTAAACTCCCTAAATCTATTATATGAGTTCCATTGGGTAGATAGAATAAATAAAAACAGATTAAAAAAAAATAGAACTTCCTTGTTCTCTTTGCTTGAATTGCCAACTAGCTTAATTTCCAACAGCGAAAAATGGCACCCCAAAGGATATTATAGACAGGATACCTCTTACAGTGATTTGGCTGACTCAGATATGCAGCCATATTTATTTAAGCAAGAGTATACAAAGAAATGCAGTGGAGAGAGGCCGAGGCGGCTGCTGCACTATAGCAAAGTCTAAGTTTGTTTCGATTTTATCTCTCAAAACCAGTTCTCGCTTAATAGTTTATGGCTTGTTGCATCGCGGTGTCCACTGAACTTCAAAGTTTACTGAGCAACTTAAAGATACCATTTAATTTGAAAAAGAACACAAAGATTGACAATTAGTGATTAGACCATATTTCATTAATAATAAATCTGAACTGTTGTATTATATTCCCATTAGAGTCGTGGCAGTGTTGTTGCACAGCTAACTTGGATCTTTATATCCTCAAACAGTGACCGTGACAAAATACACACATACAGCATCTTCTCACTGCCAGATTCCCACTTTCTCTGTAAGCGCATGTATATTATTCTATTTATTATGATTTAATGATTTGATTTAATATATGAAATCTGAGGTCTGATACATATCAAATCGATGGGGCTGCATTGAAAACAGTCAAAATAGATTTTCAGTGACAATGACTGCTCCAATTCACAGTTTTAAACAGATCTGATTTATCTCAACTGCAAGAGGCAAAAGCAAGTGTCATATACTGTGTGACAAAAGCGAAACATTTATCTAATCTGATTCTAACTATCCTCATTGCAGTCACATGATATGCTAATGCATCAGCACTTTGTCCCTTCCAGAGAAGCTTGAATGCCAAGACCAGACGCTGCGTGGCATGTTTATTTAGAGTTGCTCTTTCTTGTCAAAGACATAATCTACGCAAATCAAGAAATGTCACACGAAAAACACTGGATGATCAGATAGTTATCATATTCGGATAACAAACTACATCAAATGTGTAAACAAGTGGCACCCAGGTAGCCTGATGGTTAAGGTGCATACAACATAACTGCAATGCATGTCAAACCCTCTGAGAGTCCCCATGTTTTCAGCTGTCAGAAATAAAGAAAAATGGCATCAACAACATAAAAACTCTGTGTCAACAAAGCTGTTGTGTACTGCCAAGATCTGCCAAGGTAAGCAGAGGAGGAAGGTAAACACACATTGAACATCAAAACATACTTGTAGAAACCATCTTAATGCAAATAAACAGCCACTTACAGATCCAAGCAGGAAGATCAGATAAGTCGAACAGATTATATCAAAATAGACAAGCCAGAAGAGGTGTTTACTGTCTATTTTAATATGTATAAATTACAAGAGGAGATGAAGGAGAAATGTCCCTGTTAGCCTAAGACAAGTGCTGTCAAGTCTACACACATATCCATCCACTTCCAGGTCCATCTTAATAAGTACCATACACAAACCAAATGCTGTACAAGACCATAGACTGTATATAAGAAGTGCACGTAGTAGTCGTGACGTCACCCATTGGTTTGTGGACTGCAGTTTTGAAGCCTTGAGTTCTGCATTTTGGCCGTCGCCATCTTTGTTTTTTGCAACCAGTGAATAAAAGTGACCATGTGGACTGCGGAGGAGTGGCATAGGGATGCATATACGGCACAAGGTATAACAAATTCCTCCAGATGGGACCAAAACTTACAAAATGGACATCATGCTGTATTGAAGAAAACTTAAAACTAGCAATTAAGACCATAAACTTGTGTTTATAATGTTTAGTGAGGTAATAAATCAAGAGGACTTCCATACAATCGGAATTCTTCCGCATTGGCTTCACTTTTTAGAACCGGAGATTGCCGCCTGTAACAAATGTGAATGCTTATACCAATGTACACCATATTGTAGAATATTGACCTGTGTCAAGACAAAAAAAACCCCTCTTAATTTCACAATCGGTACAAGAAAGCTTAAAATGAAAATGTGTGAAAGGCTTCTAAGGTAAAACGAGCCGCCGCATTGCTTGTTAACAGTAAAGTGTGTCTGGACGCTGGTCTGAACTATCGATGGTTATCATGCCTGCTCAACTCAGCCAATCTTGATTCATTTTCTTTTGAATTCAAGCGGTTCTCTTTCTATCTTGTAGGAACAACAGACACTGTCCAAATATGGAGGGTCAGTGTTTGCCACTATCACACTGTACTGTTGAACACATACAAATGATGATGCAATGTGAGGCTAGGCTGTTTTTTCCTTAAACTCTTGGAAATAATCCAATTTAAAACTACAATAAAGCTCCAAGACTTATGTCACTGTAATAAAATATTCATTGTATCGCTTTCTCGTTCTCTATTTTTTTCTCTTTTTCAAAATCCTCAATCCAAAAGCAAGGCCGTTTTGTCAAATTAATAACTGTAAAATAATACAAAAGCAACGCGAGGCACAAACACCAGCAATCAATCTCTTCCTTTCTAGTGGTTGAATGAAGCGAGTCTGAGCCCTCCGACAGTCCAACTGATGACGTTTACAGAGCAGTTTAACATTAGCGGTACCATCACT